TGTGCAAAGAACAGGAGTCAGAAAATAAAAAAGAATTAACTCACTCAGCATTTCTTAAACTAAAGGAACTTAAAGGTAAATTTATGCCTCGAGTTGCAGTACTTAAAGATTTTATGGGAAGAATGCTGAATGATCCAGGAAGAATCAAAAGAAGACAGAAGGAGCACACAGAGTTACTGTAACAAAACAAAACAAAACAAAACAAAAAGAATTGGCTAACACCACAGGTGATTAAGAGGCAATGGTGATGAAGAATGAAGTCCAAGCTGCCTTGAAGGAATTGGCAAAAAACTAAGCCCCGAGAATTGATGAAGCACCAATTGACATATTTCGAAAACATATGAAACCCTGAAACAACTGTCTGGCCAAATGAGGGGAAGAAATACCATTATAAAAAAAATAAATTAAAAAATGTGATATGACAGAGCGTGGGCATTATCCAACAATATCACTAATATCACATGCAAGCAATATACTGCTGAAGATTATCCAAAACCAACTGAAACAGTACATTGACAGAGAACTGTCAGATGTGTAAGCTGGGCTTAGAAGAGGCGGTGGCACTAAGGACATTACAGCCAATGTTAGATGGATCATAGCTTCAAGCAGAGAGAACCAGAGGAATGTCTTTCTATGTTTCATCTACTATGCAAAGGCATTTGACCGTGTGGTTCACAAGAAAATGTGGCTAACCTTGAGAAGCATGAAAATCCTAGAATATTTAATTGTGCTCATGTGAAACCTATACTTGGACTAGAAAGCAGTCCTCAGAACAGTTCAAGATAACAATGTTTAAAATTAGGAAAAGTGTACATTGGGGATGCATGCTCTCTCCAAACCTTTTCAATCTATATGTGGAGCAGATCATTTGGGAAGCTGGACTTCTGAGGAGAAATGTGGCATCAGGATTGGAAGAAGATTCATCAATAACCTGAGCTAGGGAGCCGACACAACCTTGCTTGCTGAAACTGTGGAAGACCTAAGGAGTTTACTGGAGAGACAAGGATTGCAATCATCAATATGAATTGAAGATCAACATCCAGAAGAAAAAAAAATAATTCTTACCACTGGGCCACTGGCAGCATCATGACAGGAAAGAGATTGAGATTGTGAACAATTTCAGCTTGGTTCCACAATTAATAGTCTTGGCACCAGCAGTTAGGAAATTAAAAGACAAATTGTACTGGGAAAGACGTCAGGGATGTCTCCAGAGTCCTAAAGAGCAATATGTCTGTTTAGAGACTAAGGTGTGCTTGTTCCAAACCATGGTCTTCGCAATTATTTGCTTTTCATCAGAAAACTGGACAATGATTAAACTGAGATAATGGGGGTAGATGTGTAGGCAATAATGAGACTATCTCAAGATTGGGCAGGGTTCAGAGCTATTGTACAAAGGGTTGCTATGAGCTTGAGGTTGCTGGAGACTTGATGGTACATTTCAACCATAACAAGGGAGTGCTGGTGGCCTAGTGGTAAGAAGTTGCACTATAATCCCAAAGGCACACAGTTCATATTCACCAGCTGCTCTGCAGGAGAAGAATAGGCATTCTCCTCCCATGTGACTTACTGCCTCTGAAAACCTCCTGTAGGGTCAACTCTGATGACAACACACAAGAAAAATGACATACAGCTAGTAAGTTGAGGAAATGGGACGTGAACCCAATTATTATGGATTTTAAATTACACTCCTGACCACTCTGTAGTTGAAACTAGTTCATTCAAATTAATTCCTACTCAGGATAACATTATGGAACTCTGTACCGTAGTTTTCATTGACTGACATTTTTTAGGAGGTCAACCACCAAGCCTTTCTATTGAGGTACCTCTGAGTGAACTTGAACCTTCAATGTTTTGACTAGTAATTGAGTGCACTAGCCATTCATATCTATTCACTTCATAAAGAGAAAGGCTATTGAAATGAATTATAATAAAGCAGACTCAATAGGCAAAAAAAATCACTATTCCTTTAGTTGTTGATACTAAATAAATATTTAAATTTAATCAATATTAAACACATAATCTACTTTATGTTCTAATTCTGTTTCTGCCTATATACGACCTATGTTATCAATTTTAAAACTGAAAGGGTAACAACTGCAAATCTAAGAGTCCTCACCCACCTCTCACACTGCATACATTGTTGTTATGTGCCATTTAGGCAACTATGAACCATAACAACACTGTGTATAGTAGCTCAAACCTGCCATATCCTGAGCTAATCTCATTGTTCCTGAGATACTTACTCCCATGACTCTAGTTACTGTGTCAATCCATCTCATCCAGGGTCTCTTCCTTCTGTGCTATCTTTCCACCCTTCCAAGCATCATGTCCTTCAAGGACCGGTCCCATGCCCAAAGTATGTGAGTCTGAACTTCAAAATCCTTGCCTCCAAGGAACAACTTGTTTTTACCCTTTCCAGGACAGACCTGTTTGTTCTTTTGTTTCATGATATGTTCAATCCTTTTCTCCAGCAGCACAACTCAAAGGCATCAATTCTTCTGTCATCCTTAGTCGTTGCCAAGTCTTTGATCTTTCCCAAGTCATTGCAAAGACCATGGCATGGATCAGATGTGCCTTTGTCTCAAAACTGACATTACCGCTCTTGAGTACTTTGGAGAGGTCTCTGACAGCTGACTTCCCCAATGCAATTTGTCTTTTGATTTACTGACTGCTAGTGCCCAGAGAGTTAATTGTGGAACCAAGTAAGCTGAAATTGTTAACAATCTCAATATCTTTAAACCATATTCATTACTAGTCATAAAACAGAACTACATAAAATTAGCCACTGTCTTAGGAGAGCTTTTGACCTAAGACATTCACATTAATGTAAGAGAAATACAGAAAACCTAATAAAGCAACATTACACTAATGTAAATTTAGGATATTTAGATTAATGGCAGGTGAAATTTAGGTAAAGAAAAAATAGTAGAGTATGTATCCAAGTAAAGAGCAGGCAGTAACAGTGAGAGAATTATGTTTCAAAAATTGAAGAAATGAAGAAAAATTGTGTGAGAATATTAAGTCGCTTCCCCCCCGATCAGTTGTGCGTGTAGCAGAAGGAAGATGAACTTCTGATTAATAAGACAAAATAGTTGAATTGCAGGTATACTCAGAAAAGCACTGGAATGGCCATACACTCTTAGAGAGCAGAGAAAGTACAAACTGATAAGTCATTATTTTAAACTACATTTAATCAGGTGAAGGAGGAGAAGAGGAATCCATAATCACCAATTTATCTTTATTTGAGGGAAAAAGGTCTGGAGTCAGTACATAAATTGGTGAACAATGACCACATATCCTTTCTAATGATTATTCCTGATTTGGGAATCACAGCTTTGTTGCCAGTTTGATTAATTATATTTGTGATTTGTAAGAAATAAATATGCATGAAACTTGTAAAAAGCTAAATTTCCCAATTAACCTACAAATGACAAATAAGGCAATCATTTCCTTATCAACTAATAAAACAAAGCCTCTGACTGTGGGTGCCCCCTTCATTATTTGACTTTTGCTTTGTAGTCCAGTGCTTAAGAGTTTCACCTCCAACCCAAAGGCACATGGTTTCAAGTCATCAGCTGCTCTTCAGTAGAAAGATGGGCAATCTCCTCTTGTGTGATTTACTGCCTCAGAAAACCTGCTGGGGGGTCAGCTATGGGTCAGTTCTGACTTGACAGTGCCTATAAGCAACAACAATGATCAAAGTCTATAAAAAAGGTAGCATACAGATGTTAAGATCTAACGTTGAGATAGATTTCTTGGGATTTGTTTTCAAATTATATTTGTCTTTATGCTTTGGCCACAACCCCAGAAAACCACAGAGAAAACTCCAGTAATTTACTCTTGTAAGCAGAAATAGTGAATGACTTTAGATCAATTATTAAAACAAAAATTAACATACCTGGTCAGTGCATGCTACATTTTTCCATCTGTTAAACGTGCCAGTCATTAACACTTGTTTTATACAATTACTTGACTTCTCTAGCTTAAAATATTTCTACATATGGTGAACTTTATCTATGGATTAAAAAAAAAAATCTCATTGTCTTCATGAATTTGAGAAACCTAGAAAATATGGTAATTCTTAAATATCCAAAGAGGGGGTGGATAAAATTCTGTTAAATGAGAACTGAATATATTTGATCAGGTAAATGTAGTTTAAATTTGTAAACATTGGATATCATATCCATGCTGATTTTAATATTTAAGAAAAACGATCTATTTAAAATACCCAGGGAACATTTTCTAAGTAACCAAAAGAATGCTCAAGCCTGACTTCTTTTGTTCAGCATTTTATTTTAAAATTCATTACTCTATCTTAATTTAGAAATAAATATATTTAAAAGCTGAACCTTAAATATTTTTATTTGGGAAAATGAATAGATCTTAGAAAGAAATTGGCGTATTGACTCTTGTGCTACTGACAGGCTGCATTTCTTTTGATTAGCAAGGAAATGAAAGATATCCTGTGAGTGGTGTTTGGGCAACTGAGTCAGACCCACACACAAATAGGAGATGATTAAATGAAATCGCAATCAGCAGTGGCCTGGCAGGATTGCCTGGTGAGAGATAATACTGCAGCTCTCTAATTGGCTCGCAGCAAGCACACAGGATGACGGATTTCAGTTATGGTATTGCCAGTCCTGCTTTCCCCAGCACTATTATCTCAGAGTGACACTTCCATTACTCTGAGCGCAGAAAGATGAACGTCACCTGTCAGGGGCTGGTTAATTGTGTTGCTAGATGTATGTTGCCAGGGCGCAGGTTGGACATTTATGAACATAACTGCTTCCTCTGATGTCCGCCATCCTTCAGGGATCAATATGGCTCTTACAGTAAGCGCGTAATTGAGTGAAGGCACTTACCACTGAGGGGCTGAAGATGAGCCCATTGTGTGAGCTTCATTGTCCATACATTTACCATAAATGAGCTGATATTTGCCATTTATTGTGTGCAGCATTGTGGAAATGGAAACTAATGTGCCACTTTCATTTGTTTTCTAGATAAATGGTGAAGATGTCCAGAATCGAGAAGAGGCAGTGGCACTGCTCTCCAGTGAGGAGTGTAAAAGAATTGTGCTGCTCGTTGCAAGGCCAGAGATGCAGGTCAGGACCGCAGGACAAACTCTGGAGAACTTCCGTTTTGTTACCTGCTACTCTGGATCCAATCAACGCCTAGGCTATTTGAAAAATTAATGCACAGAATATAACTTAACATCCGGTCTATCCTAACTTAACAGTCCCATCAAAAAGATTGTAAGCTAGTCTCTCAAAACACTTTTTGTTTTTAATAAGAACATAAAATTGATTATCTCCTTCTCCTCTTGCCACTTTTTAAAAATGAATTCACTGATGAAAAATGGTTGACATGCATGATATTTAATTCTGTAAGGATCATTCCATTTGGTTTCTATCTAAAAATACCTAATTGGCATATTGAGGTATCTTCAAGGAATCTCTAATGAGGGAAACATTAGCATATCTAGTTTTCAACTTAAAGCTTTTTTGGAGTGACTGTCAAATAAAGTGTCTTTTGAAGCATGGTGGGGTTATGAAGCACAGGATGTGAACCTTCTCCCCAAATTTACTGTGAAATCTGTGTGGTTAAAACACACTAATAATTTCTTTCTAAAGGAAATTGTGTGGTATCTTTAGAGAGTAAACTTTTTTAAACAAAAAGTTTTAGAGAGGGAGATGTCATGGAAGCAAAGGTGATGGTGGGATGAAAGTCTTGTCAGTACCCCCTTTTACTTCCCATTTACTCCTGCCACCCTGCAGAAAGGACATAATACTGTCACCATTCTATCCATCCGTCAGTTGTTTGAGTGAAGTTGGTTATACTGCCATTTGTCTTGCAGGTTATTGATCTGATATTTTTCAGACTCAGTAACTACATACTATCTATAAATTACATTGAGCAAGTGTTTTTCAGTGTCAGATTGAATCCAGACTTGAATATAGTGGTTATAAAAAATCACCGTTTCCGCATATATTTCCTTTATGTCCTTGACCATTCTAAATGGTTCCCATAAAGTCTGCTATAGCCCGGGGCAGAGTAAAGTTACACACCTGAGGTCCTAGGTGTGGGGAGAGGGAACATCTACCACAGGCGGGTCTGCATACTTAGGACAGACCTGTGAAAATGCACATGAAATTGCATTAATAATTACCTGGAAATCTCTCAAACTGGTCTCACCTTATTGTCTTCTTTGGGGGGGGGGACAAAAACCACAGAAAATTGCAATTAAATATTTGTGAAATTTGTGGTAAATTGAAGAAAACTTATAATGCGAAATAGTCGTCATGTTTCATGTAAGAAAGATATTGCCATGATACAACGTGGTTCTCTTGCATTTTCCATGCAAATGCTAAAGAATCTCATCAGGTGGGTAAGAAAGTGTCTCCTTAAACTATGAAACATACAGGCTCTGCTGGGTTTGGGAAAGAATAGAAATTAAGGACCTAAGATCAGCTCCTATTACAGGATACAGATGTTGGGTGAATTCCTTGGTATTTTTAAACATTTGGCTATACTTCTCATCATTTTACTCAAAAAGAGGCAATGTTGGAAGATGAATTTTCAAACCAGACTTTGTTTTGTAATTAACAAAGAATGGTTGCCTACTCTCTAGGATTTGCCCTAGCCCCTTGTTCCTGAAGAAGCGAAATGCCTTTTTAAAAAATCAAATTTGGGGAGAAACCAGGAAAGGAAATACAGTCTCACACCATACTTTAAATTTTTTATTTAAGCATTCCACAAAGTGGCAAAATAAACTAGGAAAAATAAAATCTTCCTTTTATAGCATCCATATTCTTCATTAAATTCAAACCAATTCATGATTGTATTTTTATGCATTTGTATTTTACTTTTTACACGTGTGTTTTATCCAGGGACAATATGGGAGCTTCTTGTGTGCTTTTGTCCTAGGCTTTTTTTATGTTTCCAATATCCTCTAGATTCTTGGAAATGATCTACAGAGTTGCTTGGGGCAGTATTGTGCATCTGTGCAATATTTTTAAATAACTCATTCTTCTCTTTCCCTGTCAACTTTCTTTCATTTTCTGCCCATTTTCTTCCTCAGACTATTAAAGATATTGCTATTCTGTTCTAGTCCCCTTGGGCCATCGGGGCAGAGAGCGCTATCACAAGAACTTGTCACTACCTTTGAGACAGTAGTGTAGGTTGTTCCTTTCTGGGAAATGTCATGTGCAGTCCACTTGGGTAAAGACAGATTCTTCTTGTATCATAATGACAGTCCTTTTTTTCCTGAAACTCAGCTCAAGGAAGAGGTTTGTCCCTGCCATGACATTAGACCCAGACTGCCTTGAATGCCTCTGTAGGTGGAAGGGGAAATACAACAAAGAAAGAAAGCATGCTAGAAAAATCTTTCTCTCCTCACTAGCTGCCCGGGGAAAGCCTCATCATAATAACCATAGACTGTGCCTGAGATAGCAATTCCGGGGTGCACGGGCTTAGTCAATAAGAAAAGAGTTCTAAGAATCATTAATTTCTCTCTTCATTTTGACTTCAAAAGATACAATTCCATTATTCTCTGCATCACAGCTAAGAAGCATTTTGTTTTGACCTGATTATAGAAATATTCCGTGGTGTATGTGTGAAAAGGAGACATTTCTGGCCTTAAATAATTTATTTTGGAGTTTATCATTTGCAGATTCATGAAACTTAAAAGGAACTAAAGAATGTAAAATTTGGACAATTATAAATTGGATTGAATGTACATTTTTTTGTCAGCTTAATTATCATAGCTCATTTGCATATCAAAGTCAGTGGGGTGGAACCCAGTCAAGTTATTCAGGCCACATTAAGATAAATGAGTATGAACAACTGTGCCCTATGATGTTGGCCTTACACAGTTTTGGGCCTTTATCAGTTAGCAAAAACTCTTGGATTTAGCTTCATATTAATGAATATAATATAAACATGCTAAGGCCTCTTTGGGTGCAGTTGAACACCCTTCTTTCAAGCTTTTTTTCTTTTGTTATGTGTTTGTTTGTTTTTATATTTTAAAAACCCAATTAATTTTAAAAGCTTATTTTGCCCATTTATTTGGTGATGAAAACAAACTACAGTCAATTTTGGCTCCACAGAAGCTGCTGCTGCTGCTTTGTAGCAAAGTAAAGCAAAATGTTGACAATAATCTGGTTAATTTAATCACCACAGACAGCTAATGTATGTAACCCAGCTCCAAAAATCTACTTTGAGGCAAATTATCTATATTGGCTGTCAACACTGATCATATTAGCGAGGTAACCACCAGTTCTCTTTTCCACATTGTGCCGAGACGCCAAAGGGATTTGTTCATTTTAATTTGTGTGAGACCTTCACTATAATGTTTGCATTCAGTACTCATAAACAACTCTGCACGCTCTACATAACTCCACCACCCTTAAACACCACATCTGCTACAGCAATTTTCTGTGGAATTGGGCCTGAAAAGGAATCAAAACAAATATATACCATTACTGGGTTTTTTTAAAGAATAACTTAGTATTTTCCTTTTTCAAATAAAATAAATGTTGTCTATATACTCTTGTGGCCAGCAGCCATGTTGTTAACTTGGGAGCCATCCGCTTAGAAATAAAAATGCAGGAGGAGGATGGTGTCAGAGTGTGATGGGCACTTTGTATGTAGTCTCATTGGGGGTTGTTGTTAAGTTAAAAAAAGAAACCCAATTGTCTCATAGCCCTATTAGTACCGTTGCAGTTCTTTTAACACAGGGACTATTGGAGATAATGAGCATGACAGCTGTGGATTATGCAGTATGCTTTTCATACGTTTTGAAAGAAAGTAATGTCCTGTGCTGTGAGATTTACTCAGTTATAAGAGAAAATCTGTAGTTCTGTTTCAGGAAAGGATAAAAGGCGTAAGAGTCCAATTTCTTTTTTTCCTTTTTTTATCACCTTTTCTTCTTTTTGAGAGGTGAACTATGGGAGACTGAGACTCTGAAGAGAATCATTATGATAAAAGGAACTGGTCAGGCATCACCATTTAAGTTTACCCTGTTTTAGCATGAGTTCTCACTAACATAATATAATGTACTAATGTATTCTTTTGCAGCTGGATGAAGGCTGGCTGGAAGATGAAAGGAATGAATTCTTAGAGGAGTTAAACTTAGAGATGTTGGAAGAACAGCATAATGAAGCAATGCAGCACACGGCCAATGAGGTGGAGCAGGTAAGGCCAACGATATGAATGGCATCATTTGAAATGTTGCGAGTTCCTTTTTAAATATATAACCAGAAGTATAGGGGGGTGGGGGGAAGGACTAAAAGAATTTGATCAAACATCTTTATAATGGTAAAGTTTTAAAATAAATTATTATCTCAAATGAAAGAGAAGGAATAAGAAATTTTTTTCTATAAAATGCATTTCCACTTAGAGAAGCTTAAAGATAAATGCCAATGTGCTACAGTCTACTATTTAGACTAAGACTTAGACTACTATAAGTGGTCTACACTTAGATGGAGTTCCATTCCAGTACCTCTGTTTTAAGAAAGTTTTTTATTTAAATCAAATACCTTCTACTCACATCTCACTTATACAACTTTTTTTTTGTTTCATTATTACTGGCTTTAATTATCAGTATCTTCAGAAAGATGATTCTTATTTACCTTTAGGACTGAAACCATTGCATGCAAACATATACCAAGACCCCACTAGAAAGGCTATTGTTGTTTTAAAGTGCCATCAAGTCATAGGCGACTCATAGAGACCCTAGGAACGAAAGACCCGAACACTTGTGTAACTTTCATTCTTTCTCCAGGTTCATAGCATTTCTGGAGGCAAACTATGTCGGCAGTGGATGCCACTCTTGCCTCCAAGCTTTTAATCGAGGAGCACCACCAACCACTGTCCACCATGGGTAACCATTATCACATTTGACACATTGGTGTCACAGTGTTCAGCATCATAGTAACCATGAGTTAGTTACCTCTGTACAGCAAGTGGACATACCAGGGTTATACGGCCTAGAAAAGTGTTTGACCAAAAATTAAATCCGGGCTGATAGCCTGTGGCCCGTAGGCCCTACCAAATTTAAGAACCAGAGCATGCTTCAAACTCCATTAACTCCTTCATTTCAATTTCCTCTATAATCATGCATTCTCATTGGCTCTCACCACCCAAAAACGCCCATCTGGAAGCATCCCCTGCTTCTTCAATTTCCTCCTATTCTGATGCCACATGTTTCTTCACAGAGTCTAACTTCTTTAATGATTTGCCCACCATATAAATGGAGTACACATGAGGGTAGTATATATACATAAACAGAAAATGAACAAAAACCTGAAGCCCTTCTATAACTATGATCATTTCTCCAAGTTTGTAGATGTTTCAGAGGCATGTAGTTTAGGAAGTGGATGCCAGTCCTGCTTCTAAACCTGAATCAATCAAGGAGCTCCAACAAAAACCACCCATGATGGGTAGCTAATTATGGTGTATCACACACCTACTGGAAAGGCTAAGATTTTTTAAAAAAGGAAGGAGGAGGGGGGAAAAACCCCTGAAAAATACTTAGAGTCAATAAATAACAAATGATAGTGAGATTATGGTGAAATTGGAACCCTTGTCCATTACTGATAGGAAGGTAGGATATTGTAGCCATTATAGAAACTGTGTGACAATTCCTTAAAAGACTAAAAATATTGAATTGCTATATGATCCAAAAAAATTTCACTCTTAGCCAAATATACAAATACTGGAAAGCAGAGACTTGTGTTTATCACAGCACTATTCACAACAGCCAAAATGTAGAACCCATCTAAATGCCCACCCACAGATGAAGGGGTAAACAAGTGTGACACATGGAATGCAATGCTCGTTAGCCAGTGGGAGTCTGTATATGAGGCTAGAAGATATGCTGAGTGAAATAAGTCAATCGTCAAAACTACAAGTATTTTATGACCTCTCTTATATAAAGAGAAAAGAGAAGACAAAAGGTTATTAGTGTTACTAGGTGTGGGAAAGGAACATTTGAGATACAATGGATTAAGTGCTGGGTTGTGAACTGAAAGGCCAGCAGGTCAAATCCACCAGCCAGCCCTGCTCTTGTAAATATTTATAGCCTTGGGAACCCTACTGGACAATTCTACTCTGTTTTGGAGGATTGGTGCATGTTGGACTTGACAGCAGTGGAGTAGGTAGGTGCAGGACAAAGAGGCAGCCAGAGGGGCCTTTAAAAGTGATGGATATATCACATTGACTATAAGGTCAGACAGTCTGTTATTTTAACTGCTGACATAATTTATACATCTGTAAGAGTTGAATTGGCAAAATTTATAGTAGATAAATTTACATACTGAGACACATACATACAAGTATGAAGGGTGGTAGATGCTACAGTGGTTTATGCACAAGCAAAACCTCATGGGATTTGGTATTATGGTTTCATAGTTTCATGGGACATCTCCACTACTTGGCATAATGTTTAGTGCTTCTATTCTGCCTGTTAGTTCATTGCATGGTACTTGGGATTTAAAAAGTAACAAGCGACTATTTGTCCTGGGCACAACCATTGATCTGCTTTTGTCTGGAGCAACAGAGGAAAAATGAGAGTAAGGAAGAGGAGGAGGACATGGAATATATAGCTAACTGCTTCCATGAATAACTTCTTTTGCCATACAACCAAAACACTTGTATAATGCCTATCAATTATTACTGAAACTTTTTCTTCAAAGAACCTGCATGATTTGAATAGGATCAAAAGAGGAGGGAGCAATATGGAATAGAATTAAAAAGTCTCATGGACATTTTTTTGGATGAACCCTGAAAACTATTAGCCTGTATCTTTAAAACATAAGGCCAAAATATTTCCTAAAGCCTTTTTACAACCAGTTGTTGTTGTTGTTATGTGCCATCGAGTTGCTTCTAACTCATAGTGACCCTATGTACAACAGCCCTAAACCCTGCTCTATCTCTTGCCAACATAATTGTCTGTGACATACCTATCTCCATTACACCAGTGACGGAAGGAATCCATCTCATCAAAGGTCTTCCTCTCCTTACAACCAGTAATTTAGCTTAATTAGTAAAAATTAATCGCTTCAAGCATTATTTGCTTTTAAGAACTCTCTATATGGGAGTGACAATAGCAACTCAAAAGATTAGTAAGAAATATTGGAGAGGATGTGGTGAGATAGGACCTCCTATACACTGTTGGTGGAGTTGTAAAATGGTACAACCACTCTGGAGGGCAGTTTAGCTTTTCCCCAAAAAGCTGAACACAGAAATTCCATATGACTTAACTAACTATTCCACTGCTTGGAATATACACCAAGAAAATGAGAACTGAGGCACAGAGATTTATACACCAATGTTCACAGCAGCATTATTCACCATCACAAGAACATGGAAGCAGCCCAAATGTCCAACCACAATGGAATGGATTAAAAAATTGTGGTACATTCACACAGTGGAATACTATGCAGCACACAGGAGCAATGCTTTTGTAAATTACCACCTAACATGGGAGGGACTGGAGAGCATTATGCTGAGTGAACTAACTCAGTCTCATATGGTTTGAATCCATTATTTTAGGATATGAGGATCTGAGGGGCAGGAAAGGAGGAGTTTAATCATAGGGCCATAAAATTTGATGGATGGAGTAAAGGATGAGTAAACAAAAGGGGAAAGATCTAGTGTGACTAACAATATATACAAACTTTATGAACTTTTTATGTAAATCAGTATAAAATAATAAAAACTTCTAAATTAAAAAAAAATATTAGAAGGAAGTGAATTTGTAAATGAGGGAAGGAACAACTCAGGAAAGGAAGATAACGATGGTTACACACCTTGAAGCGTCGGTAAATGGCACATAGAGAAGCTGTTGAATCGGTGTAGTTTTGTTGTGTTTATGCTCAACAAGAAAATAAATACTTTTTTTTTCTTATAATCTGTGCACTGTACCTAGGGATTCAAGACAATGGTCTCAGGAGACATCAAAGTCAACTGGCACAACACAGTCTACAATACAATGTTCTATATCCTACTTTGATAAGTAGTAATTGGGGTTTTAAAAGCTTATGAGTGGCCTTCTGAAATATAACTATTGGTCTCTCCTTATCTGGAACAAGGAAGATTGAAGAAAATCAAGGCTACATGGAAACAATTATTCTTATGGACCATGAAAACCTCAGCCTCCAGGACCCCAACACCAGAAAACCTAAATGGTACCCAGCTACCATCAACTACTCAGAAAGGGGTTATTTTAGAAGATCCTGGATATTCTGAGGAAGCTGTGGAATAAAAATCTCGTAAAAAATACTAGGCTTACTGATCATGCACATCTGGTGGAATCCTGAAACTGTGGTCCTTAATCACCCTTCAGACCTGGAAATTCCCTCATTCTTATGACTCAAACAATAATCAGTCCTATAAATTGAACAGCAATCCTAAGGAGGTAAACCTTGCTCTAAGATCAACCGTTCACAATTAAAAAGGAAGCATTTGTTCAAGGAAAAGTTAGGAAAAGAGGAAGAAATAAATCAGGAAATACAGAGAGAAAGTGGGATGTGTGACATTACATTGTACGGCTTGCAGTGATAATTGAAAGCCAAATTGCTCTGTAAATTTTCCCAAATAGTATATGAAATGTTGGATAAAAAAATGATCTACTATGTAAATAGTATCCAGTACAAACTGAGGAGGAAAAAAAATCCATGAACAAGCATCTGAGAATGATATTATCAGCAAATAACCTCCATAAGCATTATTGGTACTGGTGGTTTTACATACTTTGTCAGCTATAACATATAATGACAACAGACCTGAGCTTTGCCCTATCCTGCAGTTTCCTCACCATTTCTGATATGTTTGAACCCATTGTTAGAGTCACCATGTCAGTTTATCTCGTTGAGTCTATGTAGTACATATTACTAATAAGATGTCCCCCTAAAATAAAAAAGGGGAAAAAAAACCCTCCACAAACCCCAAACAGTTACTAAGTTCATTATAACTCTTTGCATTATTAATTGACCAGTGAACTACCTGTAATCTTGTGTTGACCTAGATTCTGTTTCAATCTGCTGTTTTCCTACTAGCAGAGAAATAAACACAATATATTGCAGACCCTTTTTGTCAGATCTCTTATTCAGCTGATGGGATTAAATTAACACTTCTACTGCCAGTTTAGTGATCTTTTAATTACTATGGGGTAATTCCAATATTCTTAGCACATTCGAAAAGATAGCTTAAAATAATAAATTCCCATAGGAAAAATCCACTTTACCAAGATGAAAATACTTATGTTAATATGGTGCTGTCCCACACCAGAGATAGTGTGTGCACATATCCAGGTAGTAAATAAATACTGGGCTGCAGACCACAGTGTCCACATAGCCATGTGTGCTACATTCATATGCTGACTGTGGATGCTAAGAGGCCACGCCACAAAGAGCAGTTTGTGCTCAAAGTGCTTCAAAGTAAGGTGATTGTTTTTCAATAAGCGTGGGAGAAGACTGAAATTTTTTTTATGGTGGATTTCCACATTGGCCACAAATTAAGATATTTTGGAGGTGGCAGTTGTTTGTTGTAAGCAGAGAAGTCTTTGCTCCAGGCTTTCCTTCTCTTAAATACAAAATGTGACTAGATGCAGAATTGACAGGAGGATGTTGGAATAAAGAAAGCAGGGAGAAAGGCTGTCCAGGTGAAGTGATACGATGTCAAATGCAGCCTACTCATCAGACTTAATACAAATGCTAGGTCTTTTGAGGTAACACTAGATGTCCCTGAGGTTAGATTCTCATTGTGTGGAAATTTTTCTTCCCTGGGAGACTGAAAAATGATGAGAAGTACAGAAACCTTTAAAAGTCCTTTACCCTGATAAACAATAATACAGCATTAGAAATGTCTAGGTAGAAGCATTACCTGTCACTGTAATAATTCCACAGGGAAATGATGAATGATTGAATATCATTGTTATCAGTAACCTGCATTTTCAGGTTTAAGAAGGGAAAATTTATTTTTCACATTTTCTCATAAACCAGCAATAAAAGAAAGGAAAATTCAATAAAAGTAAATACATAAAACACCTATCCATCCCTATGTAAAATCACTTTATTATATAGAATTCCACTCTGGATATTACCTGTGTCCTATTGACAAATAGTTCAACATTGCAGAATGATTTATCTTTATCATTAATCCTGCATGCAAAACTAGAAAAATATCAGCCGCCTTCTTTTTTTCCAGATTTTTATAGGATATATGAAAATAAGTTTAAACAATGTATTAACTCAAATGTCTGTTATAAATACCATCAACACTAACTCACAACAGCAACTCAAATGAAGCCCAAGACAGAGAGTTTTATGTTTGAGCTACCTGAGTTGCAGAGTCCAAGCAATTAGAGTCATAACACACATACCAGTAATATAGCATCCTAGACATGATACGATACATCCTGGCATTAGGAGCGGAAGTTGGATCTCCATGAACTGAGGTCCTCGGGGTTTAAAGTTCCTTATCCACAGCTGGAAAGTCCTGGGATCCAGTGCTTATTCAATACTAGCCTCTTCCTGCAGCTTTATGCAGCTTTACTGTGCTTGCTTTATCATTGCTAGCATAACGGTAGATTGATTAAAGAACATACTTTGATCCCATTTGCTTGAAGAAAATGTGATTGTTGTTTCTGAACATAAAATAAAAATATTTAAAAAAATAAAATTGATTGTAATTTCTGAACTCCAAGTCTTCAAACTACTGATGAACATTTAGGCATTCTGTCTTTCTCATTTGTTTTATATTAGAAACAAATCAAGTAATCTCATTTACACACTTTCATCCTTGAATTTTCCAGTAAGAAAAACCTTAAGTATTTTACTTAGAGGTTCTCTATTTTATTTATCCCCATAGCATAACCATATCTAAGTAACTTTTTGTTTTCTTTATTTCATCACATAAAAGGCAGCCTCAAGCTAATTGCTGTTATTTCTACAATTGTTATGGATAGTAAAATTGGGTCAGCTCTCTAGGAGTTAGTTGTATTGTTTACTAAGAAGCATTGCTTTCGAGCAAGGTTTTGAAGAATATATATATTTTTCCCTGAAAGTGACTAATTTTCTTTGTTCTTTCAACTTTATTATCTTAGCCAAAAAAGCAGGAAGAAGAAGAAGGCACAACAGATACAGCAACGTCCTCATCCAACAACCATGAGAAGGACAGTGGAGTGGGACGCACAGATGAGAGTTTACGGAATGACGAGAGCTCAGAGCAGGAGAATGCAGTGGAGGACCCCAACAGCATGTCTTTGAAGAGTAAGAGAGAGCTGGGGCAGAGCCAAGACACCCTGGGAAGCCTTGAACTTCAGTGCAATGAGAGTCTCTTGTCTGGTGAATACATCGATTCCGACTGCACTGGAAACCAAGATGAGGAGTGTGAAAGGTTCCGGCAACTATTAGAACTCAAATGTAAGATTCGGAACCATGGAGAATATGACCTGTATTACACAAGCAGCACAATTGAATGCAATCGAGGAGAGCAAGAGGGAGTGGAGCACGAGTTACAGTTGCTTAATGAAGAGCTAAGAAACATTGAACTTGAGTGCCAGAATATCATGCAGGCTCATAGGCTTCAAAAAGCGACAGACCAGTATGGAGACATCTGGGCATTGCATGACGGAGGATTCAGAAATTATAATACCAGCATAGATATGCAAAGAGGAAAACTAGATGACATCATTGAACATCCAGAAAAGTCTGACAAGGACAGTTCCAGTGCTTATAACACAGCTGAAAGCTGCAGAAGCACTCCGCTAACCGTGGACCGTTCCCCAGACAGCTCTCTTCCCAGAATGATCCACCTCACTAATAAGAAAAATCTGAGAAGCACAATTGCAGCTAATCAATCCTCTTCTGGACAGAGCAGTCAAGAGTCAACCTCCACCAAAGCCAAAACCGCTCAACAAGGCTGCAGCATAGAAGGTAAGGAGAAGGTTGTGGAAAGCAGCAAGCTTCCTGAACAAGAAAAGATAGCCCCCGAACACATCCCTTACCTCTCTCCTTACCACAGCTCCTCCTACAGATACGCCAACATCCCCGCGCATGCCCGGCACTATCAAAGCTACATGCAGTTAATCCAGCAGAAGACTGCCGTTGAGTATGCGCAGAGTCAGCTCAGTCTGGTGAGCATGTGCAAGGAGTCTCAGAAGTGTGCAGAGCCCAAGATGGAATGGAAGGTGAAAATCCGCAGTGATGGGACCCGGTACATAACCAAGAGACCAGTGCGAGACCGAATTCTGAAGGAACGTGCCTTAAAGATCAAGGAGGAGCGAAGTGGCATGACGACAGACGATGACACTATGAGTGAGATGAAAATGGGGCGCTACTGGAGCAAAGAGGAGCGCAAGCAACACCTGGTCCGGGCCAAGGAGCAGCGACGGCGCCGAGAGTTCATGATGCGGAGCCGCCTGGAGTGTCTCAAGGAGAATCCTCAGAGTGGCAGCGAGGGCAAGAAGGAGCTTAATATCCTCGAACTCAGTCACAAAAAGATGATGAAAAAGAGAAACAAGAAAATTTTGGACAACTGGATGACAATCCAAGAACTGATGACCCATGGGGCCAAGTCTCCCGATGGCACAAGAGTTCACAATGCCTTCCTGTCAGTCACGACTGTATGACTGTGTGTGCAGCTGATTTTAAGAGCGTGCTACCAGTTTGGGTAGAGTATGATTGCCTCGTTCAATGTGGCGTTTTTAATATCTATTTTGTGACTCTTTATAGGTTAAATTTTTTGTAAGCAAAAATACCCAGTAATTTTTTCATTTGGTTTCCTATACTGGTACTTTTTTTTTTTTCCTGGCTGAGAACCTTTCTTTAACTTGTGATATATTCATATTACTCATTTATAAAAAATTTAAAAAACAAAAAAAGGGAAAGGAAAGGAAAAAAACTTGAACAAAAATACTGAGGAGCCAATTAATTTCCTATGTTATTGTATCTATTGTAAGTTAAGATCTGAATTTATTTCTCTAGTTTGTTTATTTCCTACTTTGATAACAACTCAATGCCAAAACATTTCTACACTTGCTTCTTGGCATAAAACATACATATGTAATCAAACCAATTAATATACCACATGCCACATCTTGTCTTACACATGGAATCCACATCTTTTTTAACACACAAGTGTACATTTACTACATCAATGGCAGTTGTCTTTGTCCCAGTAAAGTGTAGGTGAGCAGTTTTCCTGTGATATGTAGTGACATGGGTCACGTAGCTAGTTAAGTGTGATGATTGTGATAATAAAAGAAATAAATTATTGATTATCCTTAAGAAAAGTTATCAAGGAGTGTTTATTTTCATTGTCTACTGTGGTTAACAGAGTTACGGACATAATATTTAGAAGATTCCTAAGTGTAGTTTATAAATTTGTGTGCATTTTTTTATTCTTCTTTTTCTAGAAAAAATTTTCCTTAATGTTTCTTATAAACCACCACATTATATGTACCTACCAAAATTCAACTTGATTATATGTGTGTGTGTTTATTTATAAATATATATATATACACACACATATATACATATCTGTATAGCATCTAACAAAGTGCTATAGGGCCCATAAATTCAAACAAAATTTTCAATAAACATTAGTTTATGTTGCCCTTGCTGATTATCCATGTAAAGAAAAGCCAAGGAAAATTTAAGAAAAAGTATCGAGAGAGAAAATTAGATGTACAAGATTTAAAGACTGTGTTTGACACATGATACTGTGTGCATTTAGTGGACCATATGGGAATAAATTTTTGCAGGACCATTTTGCAATCATTTCAGCACAATTATAAATGCCTTATATGTAAGTTTATTAAAAGGAGAGATTGCCAAATGTCAGATAGGACTTAAATGTAGTTCCTGATTATATAAATATATAACCAGATCATGCCAATCATGATTCCCTCCGCACCCTACAACTGAAAGCATTCAGTATCTTAAACCAGATCAGCCATGTACATGCCAGCACATGTTTGATCAAATTTTCATCCAACCCAACAGATTGTTTTAAATGAAAACAAAGCATTTAACGATTTCTGAAGCTACCTTCTTGTTTAGAATCCTGTAGTGGCTCCTTCTTAGCTCTTGAATCAGACTCCAACACCTCAGCCTTACTTATATTCAGGGCCCTCCACAAACTTGCCTACTTTGCTGCATCTCTTTAGATGATCTCTGAGTTAGGCCTGCCTCTGTAATTGCCTACTCATTTACTCTTAAATCTTACACTCTTCTCCTGTCTGGAGTTTCAGTGCCAAATTCTAAAACCCAGTTTCCATTCAACCCCTGGCTACCGCATGCATGTCAGAGTAGAGTTTTCAGTGGCTGATCTTCTAGAACTAGATTGCCAGATTTTTCCTCTGAGGTGCATTTGGGTGGATTTGAACTCCAATCTTTTGCTTAACTATTTGTACCACCAGGAACTTTAACAAATTTTATACCTCCCTTAGAATGTAATCATGCACACTTTTCTCTTTCAAAACATGCTTTGATGATACCCACGTTACCCCTTCCTTGGAATTTCTCAGCTTTTTGGTGCACACACACTGATGCATCTACAATATTCTATTATTGAACCACATACACAGGACGTACTGTCTTCTTTCACAGATTACAAATTGATAGAGGAATATTGTATGTGTGTGTGTCCTCTTTCTTTATAAGCCTCTGGTAGAATGCCATGTGGATAATGATGAATACGAAAAAAAAAAAAACACCAAAAAACAATAATAAAGACCAAGCCACTGCTGTTGAGTCAATTACCACTCATAGGAATCCTCCATCATGTTTCCAAGTTTGAGAATTTCTACGCAATAGGCTGCCTGTCTTTCTTCTGTACAGCATCTGGTGGATTCCAACTGCTAACTTTTGGGTTAGCAGCTCACCTCCTAACACACTATGCTTTCAGTGCTATCAGAAAAACTCATTTGCCTTTGAGTCAGGACTGATAGTGGATCCTCTAGTGGGTTTTCAGATGATATAAGTCACACTGGAGCTTTCCCATCTTTCCCCCTCAAGGCAGCTTGTGGATTCGAACCACCTGCTTTTGAGTTGACAGCACACCTCGTTACACACTAGATCACCAGAGATCAAATGACATGCTGTTCTGTTTGGAGATGTTGCTAAGTTGAGATTAACTATTTTATTTGTTTATCTCTCTTTCTACTTCTTGTAATCACCCCTTTGCTAGCATTTTCCTTATTCTACTTTTCCGGTTTCATATCTTTTGAAGGGCTATGATATAGATTTACCTAAATTTATTTATATAAATTGAAAAGCTAGACTAAAAAAAGTTTCAGATAATGATAGTAATAGCGAACTATGAAGATTAAAAGTTTTATCACTTTAAATTAAAACTACTGTTAATTCAATGATAAGAACATTCTAATCTTAACTCTTGAACTAATGGTTTTGTAAAAATCTCCGTTGATCTTAGGAGCTCAGACCTTTTCTGACTAAAGCCTGTGACTGTTGCTTATTCTCCTGACACAACTAGTGTTTAACTACCCATTGAATTACTCCTATATATAAACTTTCTTTGAAACAGTATGTAGATTTTCCAGAGGGAACATGCACACAACTCTTACCACTAGCGTGTTTCCAAAGTTACCATTTTAATTTTATTTTCATTTACAGCCAAGTGTGCTTGCCAAGTTGTTAAAAAAAAATAAAATGTGATGGTGTTTTTCATGTCTGTGTTTATACAGTTTTACAAGTTGAAAATGTCTTTTTCCTTTAAAAATCTGAAAAGTGTTATGCTTTCTCTTTTTACATAACGTATCTTTGTGCTAAACATGATTTTTAAGTAAATGAATAATAAACCTGCTGCTCAGCAGAGAAAAATGTTTGTTATATGTGAGATATTTCCTTTCAATTCAGAAGAGTAATGTTAATGCAAAGAACAAAAACATTTTAGTGCTGTTTACATTTGAAATTCCTTATTTATTATTGTTTTTTTAATTCAAGAGGTGAGAGAAATATGTGTTAGGATCCTCATGTGAGTAATACAAGAGGGAAAAAACAGTGTATGTTTGATGGGCGTCTCTTCACCCCATACCTTGAAAGAGGTCACTATTACCATCTTGTTTTATCAGACCATCCCTTTACAGACACGTATTTAGGCCTCAGTGAACCTCCTCTCACAATTTTTAGATAAACATTGATTTATTCAATGTTCTATTTGTATGCCTCAATTTTCCACCTAACCTCATTTATTGTATCCCTTACATTAGTTTCTGATGAAGCTGCCCCTTAGAGGCAAGGATTCTGAAGTTCTGTCTCACACACTTTGGGCAAGTTGCCAGAAGGGACCATTTCTTAGAGAAGGACATCATGCTTGAAAAGTTAGAGGTACAGCACAAAAGAGGAAAATCTTGGATTAGATGGATTGACATATTAACTGGGATAATGGTGGTAGGGATGTCAGAGACAGTAAGATCATCCGGGTTGTTGTTGTTATGTGCTGTCGAGTTGCTTGCAACTCATAGCAACCCTATGTACAACAGCTCTAAACTCTGGTCTCTTGTGCCAATAGCACTGTCTCTGACACACCCATCCCGATTACCCCAGTCACTGAATCAATCCACCTCATAGGGGACCTTCCCCTTCTGCGCTGTCCCTCCACCCTACCAAGCATAATGTCCCTCTCCAAGGACCTGTTCCTCCTTGCAACATATCCAAAGTATGTTAGACAGAGCCTCAGAATCCTTGCCTCCAAGGAGCAGCCCTATTTGACCCTTTCCGGGATGAATCTGTTTGTTTTCCTAGCAGTCCATGGTACCCTCAATACTCTTCTCCAGCACCACAGCTCAAAGGCATCAATTCTCCTTCTGTCCTCCTTAGTCATTGTCCAACTCTCTGATGCATAACAAGTGATAGCAAAGACCATGGCCTGTATCAGACGCACCTTGGTCTCCAAAAAGACACCATTGCTCTTCAGGTACTTTGGAGAGATCCCTAACAGCAGACTTTTATATGGCAATACGTTTTCTAATTTCCTGGCTACTGGTGCCAAGAGTGTTGACTGTGGAGCCAAGCAAACTGAAGCTGTGAAAAAAGATCGTCCGGGACAGAGTAGCATTTAGAGCTATTGTGCAAAGGGTTGCTATGAGTTGCAGGTCACAACAACAGCAATTTCTGAGGAGCTTTGGTAATGCAAATAGTTAAATACTTCCCAGAAGCCTAGTGGAGCTCCTGCTATCACAGAGGGCCGCTATTAGTCGAATTTGACTCAAGGACCTTACAACAACAGTAACAATGAGTTTCTGCTGCTGGCTTCAAATTCTTTATTTTTGTAGTAACATTTCTTTGTTCATCTCCTCACACGTGCTTATTCCCATTTGATATCTTTCTAAAAATTAATTTTAATGAAACTTTACAGAGATTTTGGATTTCCATTCATTCATTGTTTCATTTTTCTCCGTGCCCACCCGTGCCCCCAAGTTCGCTCTTCTCTTTGAAAAGTAAAATTCTTTCATTGCTATACAATCCCCACCCCCATCCTAGTACACTCCACTATGCGACCTTCATTCTGGACTCTTGTTGTAACCATAATACCCTATCATATATCCCTTTTAAACAGTTCTCTCCCTCATCTGTTTTTATGCAGTATACATAATTTATTCAATCTTTCTCAGTTTCACCTCAACCCTGATATCAGTCCCTTTCTACAACAGTGGCACTATGCAGTATTTGTCCTTTTGTGACTGAGATATTTCACTCAGCATAATGTCCTCCAGGGTCGCCCATTTTGAATAATATTGCAAGAGTTTCTTGTTTTGAGTTTCTTGAACTTCTCTTTGACCTCATCATTCACCAAATACTATTTGTTTTCTTCAAACTCTCCAAATATTCCTAAAGCACTTCCAATTTAGACCACTACCATCAGATACCTCATTCCTTGGAAAGGTCTGTGCCTGGTACTTGGCCCCATGTCCCATTTCCAGTCTATCTCATGTACAGCAGCAATTTTGCACTCCTAAATACCATTTTTCTGAGAAGTCTTGGTGGCATGGTTTGTAATAGGTTAGGCCGCTAACTGAAATGTCAGTAGATCAAATTCACTAACCGTTCCTGAGGATAAAAATGAGCCGTGTCCACTGCTAAAGTTACTAATGGAGAGTCTGTGTGGATCGCCTTCAACTCCACAGGACAGTGTTTTTGAGTCACTGACCTCAGATTCTTCAAGAATCTTTTCCCTGAATTTGGTAGAAAAATCAGAGTGTGAATGACTATTATTCAAAGACTTCAAGTATCACCTTAAAATGTCAGCCTATTTTCCCCCCC